GCCCCCCCGGCTGGCGGCCCCAGCCGATGCGCCCACTCCAAACCAGGGCGGTTCTCAGGGCCAGGCTGGGTGGGCGCTGGCCTGCGACCTGGGGGTGAGCGAGATGAAGTCCAGCCTCTCCCCAGCCCGCTCCAGGTGAGTCAGACGACAAGCGCCTTTCCCCGAGGCTGCGGCCAAATGCGCTCTTCCTGCCGCTCTCCGTCAGTGCCCACCGTGTCGCACCCTGGGGCAGGGGTGGGGGACCTGCGGCCGGTGTCCCAACCCTCGCTGGACACAAGTTGGCCCTGAACGCTGGGCGCTGGCCGGGACCTTGCCTGCCTGGTCCAGGGCGCACACGCCGCAGCGAGGGCATGGGACAGGGGCCGGGGACTCGGCGGGAATCCGCCTGGTCCAGGGAGCCCCAGCGCCAGACCAGCCGCTGACCCAGGCCGACCCCAGCCCTGCGCCCCGCTCCCTGCATGGCAGGGTTCCCCCCGCTCCTGAGGGATCCACAGCAGCAGGCCTCCGGCTGGGCCCCCTTTGCAGGCAAACGGCTCTGGGGCAAAGTGGACCCACCAGGAAGGCAGATTCGCTCAGGGACCTTCCTGCGCGTGGGCCCACACCAGCTGCCAGGGGTCTGTGCCAGGTGGGCCATGGGGCGGGGACCCTCCCAGGCCGTCTTGCGGTCATAGAAGGGATAGGGAACCTGAAGGAGGGGACCCCAGGAATGTGTGTTCATTTAAATGAGAGTGGGGCCAGCAGGTGGCCCGGAGGTTAAGGCAGCCAGACCCCACACAGGTGACTGCGGTTCAAGTCCTAGACCCGGCAGCTTGAAAATCGTGCCCAGCACATGTGTGTGCCTGCCCAAAATCCCAAGAGGAGAGTGGAGGAGAAGGGATTGCGACGTGGCCACCCCCTGGGGTGATCTCTCGCTGTCTCCCACTCTATCTCTCTGGTGAGCATGAGAGAGGCTGGCCGTGGCCTGGTGGTTATGGAGCCAAGTCCCACATGGTGGATGGAGGGACAGATTCTGCCCCGGTGGCTTGAAAAGCATGCTGGGCCGTGTGTGCACGCCCCAAATCCTGCCAGGACAGAGCGGCAAAGGGGCAGCGGTGTGGTCCTCTCTGTCTCTGAGTGTCCCTCAGTTAAAAACATGATAAATTCGACCAGCCGTGGCTTGAAGTACAGTGGCTGGATCCCACGTGGCGGGCTGTGGATGGAGTCCTGGAAGCAACAGTTTGAAAAACATGCCAGGATGGGACCAGCAGGTGGCGTAATGGTTAGTCACGTCACTGGACTCTGACGTAGCAGACCATGGTTCAAGTCCCAGACCCGGTGGATTAAAACTCACTAAGAGATGTGTTCCCAAGATCCCGAGAAGAGAATGGGAAAGGAACTGCAGTGTGGCCATCCTCTGGGGGTGATTCCTAACTTTCTGTCTCTCTGTCTCTTTCTCTCTCTCTGGCGAGCACATGTGCCCTATAGCAAAACAAAACAAACCAGCAAAAAAATCCTCTTTAAAAAAAGAGAAAGAGGGAACCAGCAGTTAGCGTAATGGCTATGTCGCTGGACTCCCACGTAGTCGACTGCGGTTTGCGTCCCGGACCCGGTGGCTTAAAACTCACGCTGGGCGCGTGTGCGTGTGTGCCCAAGATCCCGAGAGGAGAATGGAGGAGAAGGGGTTGCGGTGTGACCATCCCCCCTGGGGGGTGATTTCTCGCTTTCTGTCTCTATGTCTCTCTCTGTCTGGCGAGCGCACGCGCCTTATAGTGAAAACCTCTCCAAAAAAAAAAAAAGAGAGAGAAAGAAAACATGCCGGGCGTGTGTACTTGCGTGCCCAGAACCCCAAGAAGAGAGTGACCCTTCCTTAGAGGGTTGTTTCCTCGCCCCTCCTGTCCCCACCCTGTAAGCCCCCAAATTATGGGAAAATGGAACAATGAGAACGAAAAGGCTTCAAGTGACCTTCAGCCCCAGCCCCTCTGCTGCGCAGCTTGGCCACACAGCGCTCCTCGCTCAGGGCGAAGGGCGAGGGCTCGCGGTAAGCCCGTCGCAAGGACTCTGCTCGCCATGGCAGCTCGGAAGTAGCCGCATGGGCGCAGGCCTGTCGGTGAGACCACTCTCGCAGTGCACAGTGGGGCCACAGCGTGCGGGTCCCCGGGCTCCTGTGTCCCCAGCCAGCACAGGTCTGGCTCAGCGGCCATCGCCCGTCCCCAGGGACAAGGTGTCGGGTTTGCAGCCTGCCGGGAGCCCACCTCGGTTAAAGTGGGAGGGGGTGGGCGGCATCTCCCCCACCTCCGGCTGCCACCCTCGGTCCCACCTGTCGCAGCCCTGCTGTCCACCCACTGGGGTGGACACAGGAGCCAGCCTCAGGCTGGGCAGGTGCGAGGGGTGGCTGGGTGGCATGGCGCTGGGGCGGGCAGGGAACAGAGCGGTTGAGAGGCGTGGGCTCCACTGGGTCCTCTGCCTCTCCGAGGGATCCCCGCCGTCCACACCCTCTGCCTGCCAGCCACCGTCCTTCCCTGGGAATGGCCAGGGCACCCTCAGCCCTGCCCCTCCCTGGACCACTCGCCTGCATGGTTCCCCCTCCAGGGCCTCCTCTGCCCCTCCTCGAGGCTGCCCACACCCCTGCCCACAAACTGCACTCCTCCTGCCCTGGCTCCAGCTTAGGCCGGTGCCCCATCACCCCTCGGTTTCTCCCACGCTGCGGCCGGGCACGTTCCCACTCAGACGGCGCCGTGCGCTCCAGAGCCTGCACTGTGCGCTGAAGCCTGGGTGTCCTCCCACCGTCCCCACTGTTGCTGGGTCCCTTGGACCCCGCTCAGGCCCTGCCCTTCCCCTCTCTGGCCTCCCTACCGCACACGAGGTCACCCACAGGCGTGCCTCGCCCCCTCCTCCGTCTCCTCTCCCGTGGCGGCTCCCTGGGGAGCGTGGGGACGCTATTGACAGCCAGGTGGGCAGAGCCCGGGTTGGCCTCCACGTGCCAGGCCCCGGGAGGTGTCAGCACCTGCAGAGCAGGAACCCGGGAGGCCGCGAAGGCAGGCCTCGCAGACCTGGGGGGCCAGCGCGCCCTCGCCCACCGCCATGTGCTCATGGGTGCGTGGACTTGCCGTGTGCACTGTTCTCTCCTGGCCTCTGGGCCTGGGAGAGTGTCAGGTCCAGGCCCCACAGGTGTCACAGCGTGCAGAGTGTGGACAGCGGAGGGCCCTCGCTGAGACGGAGAAGCCAGGGGGAGCAGGGAGGCGTCACTGACCGGCGCCCTCCGGGGCTCAAGCCCCCACAGCCCCCTTCCCACACCTCCCTGCTCCAGAGGAGGACAGGCACCGGGTCACAGGCCAGCACTGTGTTAGGGCTCTCTGGGCCCCTGACACCACTCCTGGGGTTCGGGGAAGATGCCCCTCCCGCACCCCGAACACCAGCTGCATCCTCTGTCCGGGGTGGGGACAAGTGGCCTGCAGCCCCCAGGCTGGGCCCACCAGCACCCAACGGCTCTCGGAGCTGCAGCTCTGTGCTGTGGCTCTCCACGGTCTCACAGCCTGACCCCATGTCTGCTGAGGGGGGTGACGTGTGTGGAGGCCTCATGAGCCTGGTGGCCCTGGGAGGTCACTGAGCTTCTGGGCACCTCGGCTGCTGTCCCCTTGGGCTGGGGGGGGGTGCTGTTGCCATAGACTGCGTGTCAGTGACAGTCAGTGGCCCTGCCCGTTCCTCACCTTGGGACAGTGTCTAACCCTGCCCTCCCCGCTCTGGGGCTGGGTCTTCTGACCCCTCGGAGGCTGGCCCCTGGGAACTGTTGGTGGGGTAACCTCAAATTCTCAAGCCCCAGAAGGAAGAGGCTGTTGGTGCAGCCCCTGCGTGGCTCATGGCCCCGCCACAGGCCCCACCCGGGCGTATGGGCGCTGAGACCCCGTCCTCCAGGTAAGGGGGCAGGGGTGGGCCTGTCCGTCTGCAGATAGCGGGCTAAGACTCACCCCCGAGCTGGGCTTGCTCAGGAAAGGAGACCCTGCCAGCCAAGAGTGAGTGTCCTGGGTAGGTGAAGGGCAGGAGAGGGCAGGGGAGGGCAGGGGAGGGCAGGGGAGTGCAGGAGAGGGCAGGGGAGGGCAGGAGAGGGCAGGGGAGGGCAGGGGAGCGCAGGAGAGGGCAGGAGAGGGCCAGGGAGGGCAGGAGAGGGCCAGGGAGGGCAGGGGAGGGCAGGAGAGAGCAGGGGAGGGCAGGAGGGGGCAGGGG